TGCAGAGTACTTACAACCTACTCTTAATAAAATATCAAAAAATTATTGGAATTATAATTAGGTAATTTAACCATTATTCTGTTTCACAATTTTCAAGTGTCTCATATTAAACAATAAACTTTATTACATTAAAATTATAAGTAGGTAATATTAAAAATTACTTGTTTTACGGATGGTGGTAAATTTGCCCAAGGAATGTTTTGAAGAACACATTTTTCCATTTCTTCGTTCATACTTGGAAAATTTAATATCTAGTTTACAAAAACATTTTGTAATTTTCAATTTAAATTCCAACTATTTTAAATTTATTATAATACATCAATATCATAATCAGACTTCTAATCACTACAAACTTAGATCATAATGTTATTCTTATTATGATAAAACAAGTCGAAATAATATAAGCTACACTACCTACGTAACTACATAGTACAGGCTGCACTACTGCAGCCTACAAAGGTATAAATGTACAAACCACGACCGAGATAGRAATATCATAGAGTAATAGTAATAATTATAGTAAGTTTAGTAATAGTATTACTACCTAATAGTAATAATATTAATCCATGAGAAATACAAAATATATGATAATATTCATTATTTATCAGCAGCAGCTGTGTATATCATAGAAATATAGGTATGGTATATACACAGACTATATAGTCTGTGGTATATATCTGTAGTGTAGGTATATAATATAATTTTATACCTATAGGCTATAAGCATAGATAATAATATAGTATGACGTATTATATAACTATTTAATCACTAATATGACATAATATTATCACAGATTAGTAAAATTATATATATATATATAAATTATATAATCTGTGATATTATCAAGATGCTTGGTCGCTTGGTGTGACTACGTGTGAGGGGGAATAAATAAATATTAATTATTAAACCCAACTTGAATATAATCTAGTTCATGATAACAATATTGTAATTTGTTTTATGAACTACGGACTACAGACATATTATATCTTAAATAGTGCAATGATCTTAATTAATTTCAAGACTGTGGTCCATGTATTATGCATTGAATAATATTACTTTATGTTAACGGCATTAATCGAATTACGAATTATAAATAACATTTTAGAGCGAGGAATGTATTGATTTTACCATTTTACCATGGGGCAGTAAAAGTGCTTA